GTATCAGCAAATTCTGTGCCCTTTTTTGGCGGTCTTTAAAAAGTGTTTTCGCTTTCGACATGCTGTTGAGTGTTTCCGGAAGCTGGTATTTATCAGTGTTTTGATCTTTTTAGTTTGATTAATTGATTGATAAATTTATTTACCCACGGTAAAACATTCTTTCAGCATAATTTGCAAATAAATTATCTTATTCGGCTCGGCTAATCTAAATAAAAAATAAGATAAACCTTCATGTCATATCCCAACGCTGTTTTTCAAGGATGCCGTGTATCATTCGAAGCTGTGATGACGTGGTTTGCGTTTAGTAACCCCATAACATTTAGAAAGTGGCAGTCTCAGGACGTTTCTCGTTGTATGTTTCTTGTAGGGCAAAATACGCCACAAGAAAGTTTGGTTACAACCAATTTCAGCATTGTGCTATTGCCTTCATCAAGCAGAACTCGCCCTGTTCTTCTAAGCCCTACTGCGACGCCAGGTAATTGTAATCAAGTAAGGTAAACTCGTCACGTAACAAGTAACAGCTACCCTGAAGCACGTTCATTGCTATGCCAAGTTGTTTTATGATCGTTATGTCAAGGAAAAGATAAACAAACCAACAAACAAACAAACACGCAAAACACATTAAAACAAACCGGTAGCATGTGAAAAAGGTTCAGTGGAGAAGGTCGTGGAAGAGAGTAAGTAACAAGAAGTGAAATTTTACTCCCATATTTCATTTTTATTTTGTTTTGCCTTTGTTTTGTTTTTGTTTACTATTGTTTTGTTTTGTTTTGGTTTTTTGTTTTGCTTTTTTTGTCTTGTTTAGTTTGCTTTAGTTTTTGTTTTGTTTTGTTTTGTTTTTGTTTTGTTTTGTTTTGTTTTGTTTTGTTTTTGTTTTGTTTTGTTGTTGTTTTGTTGTTGTTGTTTTGTTGTTTTTTTTTTGTTTTGCTTTTGTTTTGCTTTTGTTTTGTATTTTTTTGCTTTTGTTTTGCTTTTGTTTTGTATTTTTTTGCTTTTGTTTTGCTTTTGTTTTGCTTCTTTCTGCAACCTGCTACCTTGCTTTACTCCGATTCTATTTTCCATCCACTGGACGATGCACGAGAATATCAACAGTTGATATTCTCTTGGCCAACTCAAATGCATGGAATATCCTTAGATTGGGACTATTCAAAATACATTTTGTGTTACAGGACAACAAAACAGAAGTACTAAGTCTCCATATCCACAACAGTCGCATCAGTCATGGGCGACAAGTTCAACAGAGATTACAAGTTATTTGCATAACAGTGTAAAAACTGTGCTGACTTCTCCAACAGCTTCCAGATACATGCCCCCGACTAGTGCGCCGTCGTCGCTAGTTCTTGTAACATCAAGTAGGTATTTCATTCCTCGTTCCTACTCCCTATTCCACTTCTAGAAGTGATAAACATATAACTTCTCCCCATAAAGTTCATACATTACCTCAAAAGGAGGCAATGAGAGTGCTCAGACAAATCAGCTAGGTGGAGGTTGGTTTCCAAACACCAAATTCCCATAACTAGTTTATAAGGGAATTTGTAGAGGCTAAAGGAGAAAACAAACAATGAGATCGTGGCGGTTAAAGAGTCAATCCCCCATACTTTTTACTTTCACGATGATATCTCTCATAAATTACTCCCTGGTAGCCTCTGATGAGAGCACTTAGTTGAGACTGGGGAGAGCAGGTTATCGCCAATATGCAAGTCAGCCGTAGCGTCATAAAAAATATGTATATTTCTGTGAAAAGACATCTTCAGCGTGGTTATGGGAATAGGCCTGTTTTGACCTCACAATCTAAACAATTTCCGCGGGATTAAAGTAATTTATAGTAAAACAAATATTTCTTAGGGGCGTCTCAGCAAAATATGCCAATTTTTTTTTCAGTTTCTTTGCTTAATTCATCGATTTGCAAGTTTAACAGATGTTGAGTAAACGGATAACTATTAAAGTAAAATTTCTCTCAGAGAAAACTTAAGACCATATTCTCTTGCAATTGTAGGAAGCTGGTCCTACAATTTTTCACCAAAACGAAAACCTTTTGTACTACAATATAAAATGTCATTTGGTACAAAAATAACTTGCTGATTGAAATATTGACGTACACTTCCGTTTGGACGCGCCCGTCTGTGACGCGATTGGTCAATGGAAGAATAGTCACTTTGGTCACGTGTACAAATAATCACTTCCTGTTCCTTTCTGAGTAACTTTAGGATGACTGTGAACCGACAGTCAAGGCGCAAACTGTAAGCGAACATGACTTTCGTAATTCGCCAGATGCCCCAATTACAAACTGTTTTATGCCTGATCTTCTTCACAGTTCACAAGGATGCAGGTAAAATGGTTCGTTTTGTTTGAAAGTCTAAACAATCTGTTTATTATAACGCTTCTCTCGTTCTGGCATGGCGCTATCGTAGAACTCTGAATATACATCGATCGCACTGAAGCGTTTTCCATTTCGGTATTTATGCTATTGTACGAAAAAACTTCTTCCATCTTCGAATATTTCTTCTACCACATGGTCTAATAACTCAAACTTATATCTAAGCCTCATACAATTGTTAAAAATGCTTGGATGAAAATGTTAAGTGAATATGTCAAATGTATACTTCAGCATTCGGTATTGTCTGAAATCTTGAATATTGCAAATTTGATTGGTACAATATTTGTGGCGATGTTCCAAGATAAGATCGCCCTTGACAGAAAATGTTTATTTTAGAAGTTGCATATTGGACATATGTTCATTTGTTCCCTGAGTCGGGAGCGATTTGGAAAAAATAGATAGATCCAGCATACTCTAGTGTCCGTAAACTATCGAACGAGCCAAGATATTTAGATGTGTCTCGTGCGGTTTCAATTGTGCATAGATGTAAGCTTGTACATTTGCCACAGGCTTTTGTGTTTCGCTTGAAACTTTCTCTTTTAACGAGACTTTGGCGAAGCAAGGAGAAGGGATATATACGCCATTAAATCAAACTGAAAGTTAATACTTGCCCGTGGGCAGATCGCCAAGACATGGTGAATTTTTTTTTTTAACCGATGAGACCATATGTGCACGTAAACCGCCTTTGTTTTCGAAATTGGCTCACAACCGCAGGCGAACTTTCAAATTAGGGAACATCGATAGTGAGATGAAATGGAAAATATGTTTGCGTTGGATGTAATGTTTTCCTTTCGAAGGCAGTGCTGTGTTCAAGTTTAAATTACCTTTACGTATTGTCATGGTTATTCAAGATTGCATGATTGTTCTTTTCACGGAAATTTTGGCGACTCCATCATCCATGTAATGAACTTGGTGTTATTAACAGAGGTAATCTCGTCTGAATTTTCCGAGAGTAATGTTTTCAGGGTTTGAAAAATAATTGTAATAAACGAATCCAGTTCGACAATTGTTTAAGCACTTAAAGCCCTGAACAAAGTGTCCAAGGAAAGAAATCGAATAGCTAAATTTGGACAAGAGTTCATTTTGTTTGTTAGAAAATAGAGTTGCGATTGTTAATGATAATGTAATTGTCGCCAGTTATTTGTATCGAATGGGTTCTCTGAATGTGAACAAGAACAGGGTAACTGTATTAATTCTATTTAGTGTCTTTATTCGAATAAGTTCCCCCTTTATGATAAACTATCCAGAAAAATGTTTTTTCTAACAAGCACCCTTGTTCGGATAAGTGCCCTTATACCAATTTACCTCCAAGTCCAATAAGTGGTTCACTCTCCTTTTATTGCTCTCTACTGAGCCTCACTACTAAATCATTGGTCTTCCTCGCAGTCCATCAACCATTATGTCAAACCTTTGTTTCACAGATTCTGTTGTTTCTCAAAACAGAAATAGGTGCCCTGTTCCTAATAAGGGCCCTATTTTGAATAAGCACCCTCCCTTATTTTACCAAAATTTAAAAAAAGCACACTGCATTAAATTGAATCATTACAGTTGAAATCTTGAACTCCTATGAGTGACCAAAACAAAATTTCTCTTTACATTATTAATACAATGTCAAGCAGGAAAGTGATGAGAATTTAAAAAAAGGACATCTACTCTGGGACCATTAGTTCATCCAACCCCAAATTCATCGAACCAACATCATGAGATTGACTATAGCAGATAGTAAGGAGAATTAGAACTTTGGACTGAAAGCATTATAAGACAAGAGGAAATTTTCCACCTCTTTACCCCAGTATATAAAAGCCACTCACTGTGCAATGTGCAAAATGTCTTATAACAAATGTCAAATAAACTCTGGCATAGTATTTGGTAAAATAAATTTTTGATCAAGGTGAAGTAGTTTGTGTTAGAATTTACTTACACTCCTTCAAACTCAGTATAGATGTTTTATCAGCATGGAGGTTTTCTTTATCAGAGCTCTTATTGCTGTAATGATTATAATTCACAATACTTTTTAGATCTGTGATTACTGGTTCTTATCTAAAAAGGGATAAGTTATATGAACTGACAATGCATTTTTAATGATAGAATAATTTGTTTGCATGTCCTTTGAATTTTCATGTCAGCCTTTCTGTATTTCCCTGTTATCAAGGTCCAGCAAGTATCAACATACACAAGTCTGCATAAATACTAGTGACCTAATTTGTACTTTTAGATGGAGAACTGTTATAAATTCTTAAGAAGTTTATTTATCTGTGCCTATAGTACTAAAAATGGAACAAACAAGTTGTGGTGGAGAATCTTGATTACCTAATTCCCCTATATTTCAGTAACGGAGAAATGATATTATGCAAAGGGTTCTTCCTCTTGATCTAGGTTAAGATTGTAGCTATAAATTTGTGTTAATTTCAAACCCTTGACATGGTTTTCAGATGTTTTCCAAAATTAAATACTGAGATTTAAATTAAACTTTGGACATTGGAGCACATTCAGTTTTTGTCACCTTAATCCCATTATCCTC